CCCCAAAACCCCAAAACCCCAAAACCCCAAAACCCCAAAACCCCAAAACCCCAAAACCCCATATTTTAAATTATTGTAGAATTCATATTTAAAAATCATATAATATGGAAGAGGAAGAGGGTGCCGCTACCATTGATCCTGAAGTTCTCATGGAAGATATTATCGAATACCTCAAATTACTTAATTATGAGGGAGATTTTTGTTCCGAGAGAGGTCTCAAACCTCTCAGCAGATGCTACTTTGCAGTTAAGTTCAATCCGTCTGATCAATTTATGTATTTTGTCAGCTTAGTATCATGGCTGCTAACTTTGTGAGGGCAGACACCAGGAGGTTGGAATCAATATGACGATCCAAACACTGTTACTAATAATATCGTACTTGATCTCAAGAAATTAGATATATTAATTGATTTCCCACCATCCAAACTTAAGACTGGATCAGGGGAGGCTGTCTGCCAAGCTTTGAATGGACTCGTACAGGTAGCATTGAAAGCCCAGAAATTTAAATTCAGACAGCCAGTCATCCCTGATGATGACGAGGAACAAGTCAATGAAGATGAGGCGAATGATAATGATGATGGAAACCAAATCGTTGACCTTGCCAATGATGTCCTGGACGATGATGATGATATTGCTGAACTTGTAGAAGGTGGCCCAGGAGATCTAAAAGGAAACGATTTTGAGCCAGAAAATGAAATTATCGAAGCAGGCATAGACCCTGACGAATGGTACAGGGAGTGTCAAAGAGTTGCCCATAAGCTCAAGATCAAAGAGTCTCACGATGCTCAGGAGTGGAGAAGCCATCTTGATCAGACCAAAAAGTACGCAGAACAAGTCCAACAGACCCTGCCGGATGTGAGATCTAAACTTGAGAAAATTGCAGATGAAGTGAGTAGGGCTCTAGAAAAAATCTCTAAAAAGGAAGGAATGTTCAAGACTAGGCATGACACAATGACTGGTGACTATAAGCAAGTAGCTGAAACTATGAAAGAGAATACTAATGAATTTAACAGACTTAAGAACAGTGTCCAAGAACTAGAGGCTGAACTCTATGATGTGGAGGAGAAATTAGCAGACGTTAAGAAGAAAATGGACGAAAATCAATCGAAAATTTCAGATACTTCTCCTCTGCAGAAAATTAAGAAAGGAATTACTAAAATGCAAAAAGAAATCAGATCTGTTGACATCAGAATCGGAGTTGTTCTGAATACCTTGACACAGCTGAAGCTGAAAGAGAGGAACATTGATGATTCTGGAAAGAAAGGAGCCGCAGATGATGACGATGAGATGGATCTTGAACTGTAGACTCACAGGAATTATAGTTCAATTAGAGGAATTATCTAAGGGGTTTTGGGGTTTTGGGGTTTTGGGGTTTTTTGGGG